CCCATGCGAGCGCGACTCGGACTCGTGCTCGCACGACCCTTTCTTCACACTCGCAGGAGCGATCAGATCGCCCAAAGACACAGCAGCCTATAGGTGCGAGCGACTTACAGCGCTGAACTTCCGGTGAACCGTCTTTTTGAACCAATGAATAATTTCTATGAACTCCTTTGTGGTTTCTTCACAAGGGGGATCCCTAGGTGAATTAATTCTCTATGTGAAAAGTCAGGATGGTAAAGCGTTGTATTTTGAGGAGAGCCCCTTGATCAGCGCCTCAATCAGAAGGTTACTTCAAAACCAGATCCCCGCCCAGTAGAAGTTGTTTTTGCGGGGGGATTTCGGAATTCCACTTCTACATGGGAAAGACTGGAAAAAGTGGAAGAGGGGACCCTGACCCCTAACCCCCTCTTGAGATAGGGTGGCCTTCCATTCTTCCTGACATCCATTCTCATTTGCACGCTGAGCGGGGATAAATTCGGCTCGCCCCCATCAATGATGTAGGTCCTGTACTAGGGAATACTGGAAGTCAGGTTTGGGAATCATGGTTATTTGTTGCAGATCCCATATCGTGGCTGCAATCCTGTCCATTTTCCCGATTTGCAAACAAGGCTTTGGCGAAGGCTCCGTGGGTGCTCGGTCCCCCTGTGCCGTCACGATTATTCTGTTTCGGCAGGGACCCAAACCCTCCAGAGCAAATTTTCAGAAACCTGTCATCCACCTGTCGACCCGAAGAATTTTGAGATAACTCATTCCCCTTCAAAGAGCTGTTTTCCTTCATGGTTTCTTTCAACTTGGCCAACAAATCGGATCCTCATACTTGAAATCGCCGACCCACCTACTGGAAGCTCACAGGTCCCGTTTTCCCGCTCAAAGAGATTCCAAACGTGTTTGTTGCTTCCATACTTTGCTTGGGCGAAGTCCACATCGCACCAGCTGGGATGGATGAAACCCGGAGAAAAATGAGGGATCAGCCACCCAGCAACTGGCGGATTTTGTCCATGCACGGCAGGATCTAGCCAAAAAACGCGACGTGCGCGTGCCAGGCATGCACAAGCCTCCTATGGCGCTGGCAGTGGAGGCACCCATTTGGTTTTCAACCCCCAACCTGTTTCTCCCATTACCCAAACACAACTTTGAGGGTCAACGTGCCCTTTGGTTTTACCCTTTTTAGGTTCCCTTTGGTTTCCCTGTCAGTGTTGCCATTTATGGTGGTTCCCGGGATTTAAGGTTGCAACCCTATCATGGAAGCCCAGTCCCCTCACAGGACCTGGCTTTATTTTCAGGTTCATAGTTGTGGACAAATATTTTTCCCGAGACTTCTTTTTCCCAGAAACCGCCACCCCGGAAAACGGCTGTTTCCTTCCAAAGAAGAATGGGTGTGACAGAATGGGGAGGCAACCCTTGAACCAATGGTTAAACCTTTGGCTCGCGCAGGATTCTTGGGATTGGGGCTGTTGCGTTGCTGCTTGTGGCCAAGGGAGTCCTTTGAGATTGGCAACAGTCGTTGGATGGGAAACCACTTTGGGGTTCTCCCTGACATTTTGGAGATACTACGGATCCGAGCCCTATCAAAACCCAAGGGTAAAAAGTTGTGTTGGTTTCCTTGGTTTCTCCTACCTCTACCCCCGAGATTTCGGAGCAACCCCTCTAGGGTTTTGAGGAATGGCCAAAAACCCGAAGACCGACTTTAAGGTGCCAGAAGGGAAACACAGCGCGCCTCCGCAAGCTGCGCTCGACGGCTTGGGTCGTTCTTAACCCAACATTTGAGTGACTTTGACCATGAAATTGTGATATTTGTGAAACAGGCCAGGGCTTGAGCGGACTGAGCTCCAACTCTGGGGGTAATTGCAGTCGGAAATTGGGGCAGTTTCCCTTTGAACCCGCCATTTCGGCGACTTTGACAATGATGAAATTGCGGGCCCACTTGGACAGGATGTCATGCTTGGCACCGCTGAAAAAGGCATTTTCAGCTGGGTTAGGTGTGGAGGTGAGAAATACCCGGCATGTCAGGTAACAAGTAAGGCCAGTATTCATCCTGTATAAAAGTGGCAATGTGAGTGGACAGAATCCACGGTTGGGATGGATGAAAGCCTATGACAACTGCGGACACACCACCAAGTGGTGCGAAGCGAACTTTGTCCATCCAAGTATGTTTTACATTTCCACGCTGAACATCCCGCCTCAGCGCCCAGAACTCCTTGATGGTTCTACCACCTGGCTCCATTGAATTTTCAGTAAGGCCTGTGTAACCCTTTATAGCCAGGCTGGTAGAGCCAGATGGGCCAAACGAGCGCGTTGAAGCGCTAGGCGGAGGTCGTGGATCACTTGCTGAGCCGCTTTGTCCTGGAGCGGAAGGCGGATGGGGACGGGCTCGAAGCCTTTGGGCTCGGTCTTGGGGTCTCATGGGGTCCAACTTATTTTGATTTCAACGACATGGCAGATCTCTTACAGGCCGTGTCGGTTTCCCTGCGCATGGGAGAACCTCCCCTTTTCGAGGGTTGACGACGCGGGCCATTTCAATGGCAGGGAGACTGGACCAACCTCACGCCACGGTCATTTGGGCTGTGCCATTTGAGAAACGTGGCGCGGTAGATCCTTTGAACGAGGTGAATGTCAACTTTGGACAAACCCGGACTACCATGCTAATCACAGCGTTCTTTTAAGGGCATTGATTATTTTCCGGGGCTTTCTTTCATGGCACGATATTTAGGAAAATCCGAAGTTGCGGCTCTTGACAGCGGACAATCCCTGCCTTGCGTTGCCAGGCGCCCACGCGCGCGGCCAAGCTTTGACGATGCCCCAAGAAAGGAAACCGCAAGCTGCGATTTGTTTGGGATTGGTGCTTAGGATAGGTTGAAAAAGAGTTGATACTTGTAGGGGTGTTTTGTGGTTGTGTGGCTGGTCTAGGGCGCGAGGACTCGTTTGGGGCTGATGCAAGGTTGGGGTGGGGGGAGTGGAGGTGGGTTAGGGTTGCTTTTGAGCTGGTTTGGTTCAGCTCCCTTATGGTATCCGTTTATGGCAGGAGCCACTCTTTGACGGCAGTTGCGCGTTGCTTGCCATGCAAGCACGTCTGGTATTTTGGAATCATGGGCCCAGCGCTTGTTTGGCCAAGGCTGCAGAGACGCGAGCGCAAAGCTTACAAGGAGATTTGGGCACTCGGGGGGTCCTTGGCATCGGGCACCGCAAGCGAGGTGGGCACTCGATAGATGTGGGCCCTGGGTGTGGGTAATCCGTCGGAGCAGAAGGACCTTTGGGGAGGCTTTGTTTGACTCTTGAACAGCTGCACTTGTTAAAAGCGCCCAGGGAACCGAGTTCAAGTGAGCTGTCGGGGGAGGACCTTAGAGTGCGCTGGTCCAAATCGGAGCTTTTGGGGCTCCGATTTGAACGGGGGCTTACCTGCCAGGAGCCGCTTAATCGCTTTCAAGCCCCGCAAAGTCCGGTTTGGGCAGCTCCTCCGCTCTCATTGTCCATTTCAAGTTGGGTGCGCACGGCCAGCTCCTGTCGATGTTCCCCAGACCTGCGTCGCGCAGCCGGTCTGCCTTTTGCGTGTTTGGCGGCTTCAACGGGAAACCAAGGGGAAGCCGAAGCATGTCCAAGCCCAACGAATCGGTGGTTTCCCTTCGCATAACATCAAACAAAGAACTGACACATCGCAAGAAGGGGAGGTCATGCCCATAAGCTGCTCCCCAACGGTCGCGCAAGTCACTCATAGGCTTCAATGGCTATGGCTTTGAATCACTGGTATGGGTTTGTATCAGAATACGGGCACCCTCAACACGGTTTCCTTGAAAACAATCAACAAGTTAAGAAAAACAGAACACATGAATATATTTGCCTTCGCTGCACGCATTCGTCCCGTCTAGGAGATGCTGGAGCAGGCACAGGGATGAACAATTATTGGCCAATGGCAGTGGCTTGCGGTGTCCTTCAAGGGTTTGGTTGACAATCGATGGGTTCCGGTGGCTTGGTTTCAATCATTACCAGTGCGAATTTTGGTTCCAAAAAGGACATGCCAAGGAGACTAATCTTTCTGCGCTGTCTATTGTTGGCCTGGAGAGGACTAGACGGGGCGGACCGACCACCCAATCACCACCATCCGCAATGTGGGTTTCTCCTTTGAGAGACCAAAGGGAATAGGTGAGCTGGGCGAGCTTGCCCAGAAGCAGCCTTTTGGTATACCTCCCACGGACAAATGGGGGGGACCATGGTCAGAGACGCTTGAGAAGCGGATCAAAAAAACGCCATGCGGGATCACAAAGAATGTCAGCCCTCAAGTCACATTTCAGAGCAACTCCAGGGGAAATGATGGGTGTCTTTTTCAGGAAACCTCCTTCTGTTTATTTGAAAGACAACCACGAAACCGGACCCTTGGATCCAAGCCCCCGCAGCTGCCCCTCGTTCTGTTTCCTAGTGATAGGGGCGGAAAAGGGAGGGTTAATTTGAATGCACTTGAGAGGGAGACCCAAAACAGGTTGGTTAAACACGAGTTGTTCACACTGCTCCCGGCTTCCATTTCACAGTTGAGTTGCGGGTTTCAAGGTCCGCCACCGGAAACGAAGCGCGACTAGTGACGAGAGGCACGATATGATGAGGTTAAATGAAAGGGAGTTCTAATTCAATGGTGAGAAATAGCATTTGCATGTTCACTAGCGATCACAAGTCTCATTCGCGTCACCGTATTGCCGTTGTTTTCCCCTAAATAACCACCACGAACGAGGTCAATGAAAAGTTGCGCAGTCATGATGTCAGCTTGTTAGAAGACATACAACCACTTTGGATTCGACCTCATGTCGCTGAAAACTAGCAATGACATTCTTTATGCCCTATTCGCCCACAAGAACCCAAAGGGTTGCCTTTTAACAGGACCGTTTTCCTTGGAATCGTTTTTTCTTGGATATGTGTTTCCCTCTCAAGCCCCAAAGGTGCTTGAAACACATCCCTGAGCAATCCTAGCCAATGACAAGCTCTTTTCCAAGCGCACCCGCCTGAAACGGGGACTCTTG